GGAAAGTGCTGCCTATTTGTTCAGTCAGTTTATTTGAGAAACTCCAGCTATTCTGCAGAGGGAAAAAATACATAATTATTGATGCAAGCAGTAACTCCCACGTACTTCCAGCTGCCATCCCCTGCCAAGGAGCAGGGGGGCTGTATTCTCTCATGCACCTGAGGCAAACCTTGGAGCAGGAAAGATATTTCCCTGCACAGCCTCTTACCAGCTCTGGAAGTACCATCCTTGCAGGCAAATATTTATGTGCTTCCTCTGTCTTACAGTTCTCCTTTGTGCTCAAGCTGCCTTGAACCAACTGCATGGTTCTGTCATTCCTACTGCCATGGCTGGAGACACTGTGCTCTTGCCCCACTCCCCTTCACTTCTGTACATCTCTGTCTTTTGATTTCTTTCAAAAGCTTTTTTTAAAGGTTTGCCTAATTTTCTGCACTTCACTGAGTCTCCTAATCCAGTAACATCTGCTGAGAATATTGTATCGTGCCTGATCACTTATGAATCACTTATGCTATATTGGGAAATACCATTAATGACATTTTCTTCAAAAACTTTATTAAGGCATTTAATTTCTAAATAAAAAAATTCTTTTAAAACCTCCTGAATTATCTGCAGTCATTTCCCTCATTTCTCAACAAAATCAGTCATGGATAATCCAAACTACAACTCACATCCACATCTGGTTTCTTTCCTCAATGAATTTTTCTCAACTTAAAATCACATTACCCGAGAAGTGATGCCAAAAATGAAATGTGAAATGGTAACTTTTCTAAGTTTATAACTTATAAAAGGGTTACTATACAACTTACAAGGGTTGTAGAAGTACTTACAAGGGTTACTATATAACCCTTGTTCTTTTTGCTTGGGTTCATAGAGGTCCACGACTCCATACAGAACTTAGATATCTCATGTTGCCCATTTTTGTTTAAAATATTAATAAATTAATTTTAATAATAAAATTTACTCAAGATCACAGTTTGGTTCAAAGACAATTAATACTGCTTCTAAGCTGCTATTTTTTAATTTAAAAATAGTTATAAAAATATATATAAATCTTTTGATTTCTGATATTTAGCTATTCCATAGTAGCAGAAAGCCTCACCAACACATCTATTAATCTTTTGAAATAGGTCTAAAATGCTAGTCCTAAGGAACAGATAGACAAGAGCAGCAAACTTAGTAAGGACATGTTAATTGGTAAGTGGAAATGTAGGAACTACCCCTGAAATGAACAAATCTCTATATCCCCTCACTCCACCCCTAAGGCATTAGTGTTTGAATAATTTTGGCAAGTATTACTTGAAAATGTTGCCCTATATTGCCATAAGGATATTAAATAACTACAAAACTATTTTAATACAGACTCCCCAGGGAAGCTATTTTCTAACACCCTCTTATTTTAAGAGCTCTCCCCAGACATGAGGTAACAATAGTTTCAAAAAATAATAACTGCTCGTGAAACTGTCAGCAAGACAAGGCGAGCACTGAGTTTAGTTTTCACTGTTAACCGTGGTCTCACTGGAAGAGGTAAAGATCTTTGACAGTAGGCTTCCAGTTCTCTTATCCTGCTTTAAAGTATTTCCAGGGATGCATTATCCCACTTGTTTGCTAAATGCATTTTTCCTCCCCAAATATGTGACTAGTGAGAAAAAAAATCTGAAAAGGAAATGCCTTGTTCCCCAGCCAGTGCTCTGTTGGCTGTTACTGGCTGCAACAGCACCGGCTAAGGCTTACCAAGTTGAAAACAAAAACTGTTTTTACAAGATTACTGAGCTAGTGCAGCTGGAAATGCTCTTCAGCACTAGGCAACTGTCCTTTGACAGTATTGCCAAGAGGCATTGTCGGATGTGTTTAATATTTGGCAATCATGGCTGAACTACCAGGATTGTAACCCTGTCAGCATTTACAGATCTAGCTCTATTGAAGTCAGAGGTGACATTCTTACACTTGAAAAACTCTGATTATTCACCAAGACAAAGCTAAGGAACTTGCATGGTGAGTGGCCAAGTTTCTTCCTTGTAATTCTCTTCAGATACAAAAGACTTGGTGATATAAAATCTCCTTGGCAGGTAGCGAGAGGCCTCCTTTTACCATGTCATTCATGCTTCACACACTCCTGCATGAAGGAACACTGTTGCTTTTCATGGCTGCATGCCAAAGCACTAATTGTAGATCTTTCCTATGCTTAAAATCTTCCCAGGTCAAATTACAAAGGCCTTCCAACAGGCATTGACTGAAGTCAGTTTTTGCCAAGAGGCAGAGTTCTGTCCTGAGATTGCAGTACCAGGTGCTTTGGTACAATGTATATGCTGTGGTGAAACACCACCTTGCTGTTACCAGGTCAGGCACACAAATTATGCCCTTAGGTTTATTTCTGTATGCTACAGCTGGATGTGAGTGTCATTACAAGAAGCTGTTTAGTATAGAATTCGAGCAGTACATGTAGCCAAGGGAGGAGCCACCAGTGCTGATCAGAAAAGGCTGGAGTTCTGCTTTCCCTGTGTCCTGGTGTGTCAGCACCACTTGGTGGTGTCTGAAGGGAGCACATGACTGAGGCCATCTGGCTGGATTTCCTAAATACTTCTGAATAACAGCCCTGTATAACCTTGGCTCCAAGTAGACTAGTCCTATAAAAATCTGTATGGGAAGAGTTACACTTCTGCTTAAACATCAGAGGGTCTGCACATGAGAATACGGCCCAGAAGTGCATTCCTCTATCCTCTGCAAAGACAGAGGGATGCTGGCAACAAGTGAGGAAACGATAGCAGATAATGAAGCTGGGGGATATGAAGAAGTCCTGTGCAAGTAAAAAAGTCCTTGTAACTTGCTCATGGTTTTTACTGTACCAAACTGGCATCTCTGAAGAGCAGCAGAAATCTCCTGCCCCTGCAGAGCTGAGGGCTAGTCAGTGTTACTGTGTGCCACTAGTGGTGTATTAATGCCAGCAGGCTGGGATATAAAGGAAAAATACATAGACAGAAGCAAGATCAGAGTGGCTGATGCTGAGTCACAGCAAAGCTCAGCAGCACCAAAATGCTTAACCTGGGAAGAAATGCTTGGGAGCTTTTACTAAATTCAAGGTTTTGTTCCTGCATGAAGCCAGCTAAAAAAAGGCAATTTAGTGTCTTGCAGGAAAAGCAGGCATAGTCAAACCTGGGACAGAAGAAAAAAAGGCACCAGCATGGAGCCAAATCAGCATATTCAGTAAAGTTTTCCAATATGTGAAACAGAGGGAAAAAACAGTCTGATAACCATCTACTGCTGTAGCTGGCAGGTGCATTAAAACTCACTTTCACTCTACAAAGGGAAACAGAGCTACTGTTTGGTGACTAGCATACTGGATTATTTTCGCCTCTAGCTTTGCACACAAAATCAATTGAAGGGTGGAAAAGAACCTGAGTACAGGAAAGCGAGCCAATACTGTCAACACAGAATAAATGATGCAGTGGTGGCAATAACAGAACTTTTTCTGGAGAGAGGATATTTATGAAAAAAATGTAATTTCCTATTTCAGTAAAGGCGAGTTAGTCTGCAGAAAGATTGTGTGAACTTCCCAGCTCTCAATTACATATTCACACATTTGTAAAGTTCCAGAAACACTTTATTTAAAAATGGAGTTGTAAATGCATATAACAAAATAACATACATAATAAATGTAACAAAAATAAATAAGGAGAACATGTCCATACAAAATAATAACATAGTAATGCAAAATGCTTATTACACAACATAAAGGTAAAAACGCCTGAAATAACACAAACAGAATCTCGTATGAAGAGCCCGCACCTTTAATCCGTCCTAGCCATTTCCTACTTTCCACTTGAATCTGCAGAAAAATTATGTTCCCAAGCATTAAACAAAAGAAGGAATTATGGTGATGGTTTGGTACACTCAATTTTCAATACTTAGCTCTAGTTTCCATCTATTTTTGCCCTTCTGCACCTTCAAAAAGTTTTCCTGTAGCCTCTGTAAACTAGTGTCATTCAGGCTCCCACAGTTAGCTGGAGTAGAGCATATTGAGTCATACATGAAGACTGTTTGCTTTTAATTTTTTTTAAAGAAAATATGAAATCCATTATACAACAGATTAGTGGTTTTGTTTTTACATCTCTACAAAAAAAGTTTTTGCATCTTTATTAACTGGTCCAACTTTTACTGATTTCTGAAAGCCTGTACAATTCAAAAGCGTACAGAAAGTAGGTTTTTAAAAACAAATCTCATATAGGATTATTGCTGAAATATTAAAGACCATTTCATAAAAGCTGCAAAACTGTATCTTTAACCTTAATATATAGAGACTGATGCAAACATAAGAAAATTCCAGTCTATTAGTTACATTTAACAGAAAAAACATTCCTCCAAATTACAGTGTTCTGGAAATACAAAGTAATTTACTTTAATTTTTTTCATTATTTCCAAATGTTAAGTTACTGGGACAACTGATAAGGAAAATAGGCTTATATAGGAAACTTTAAATAGACTTGCTTTTCAGTGGTATAAGCAAAATGTCCATGTTAGCAGTCGTCGTCCAGAATCCTTTTAAATATGTAAGACAGGGACAGCTTTACTAGCAAGACTACAGGAAAATATACAGAAGCAAATAAAATAATTTGCTTGGGAGTGCATCTATTGATCAAGCAAATCATGACAACTCTATTTCCAAGTTCCCTAAAGAAAATTTTACATCTCATGATCATTCCAAATAAAGAGTAATTTCTTCTGTAAGCTTACGTTGCATTTGGATTGTGAGAGCCCATTTGCCTCAATATGCTTTAAAATGTCCCACACTGCTATACGTTCAAATTTATTTCCTAGTTAGTTTCAACAAAGATTTGGACAGAAATGAGATATGAAATACTTCTACTTTCATTAACATCAAAAAGACTTTTGAAGAAGATCAAAAAGTGCCAAATAGTTTATTCAGAAAGTGGATTAAAACACTGTAATGATAATACAAGGACAGTATTATCAGTTTTCTATGTACACCAAAACACTGCTTGCTGTTCAATGATATCGATATGTTCACCTACCACTCCCAGCAAATCTTAGTGCAAACATAATATGTGAACTTATTTGTAAACCCCAAGACAATTTACGCAGCAACAAGGTTACATAAACCACAGAACTGTTTGAGATTTTCCAGTACATGAGAATGAATGCTTTCTGAAATCTGTCTTACTTTTGCAGTAATGTGTCATTGTAGTCCAAGATAATGTTTCCTATATAAATCATCTAATTCAGAATCAAACATAACTGTTCAACAGTTCTGTACAAGCTTTAGAGGAGGAAGTCTGTTTATCAGAGCAGCTTGGCAAAGAGATTGGGGTTTTCGGTAAATGTTAGACTGCTTGCATGGCTTTTAAAAAGAAATAAATTTATTAAGGGAAAACTGCTGATATAATAATTCTTTTGCAAAGCACACAACCACAAAGGGCAAACCTGCCACAATCTGCTTTCCTACACTGGTATCTATGCATATCTTTATGATTTGAAAAGTATTTGTGTGACAATCAAAGCATCACAATTAAAGAAAACTGGTTTAATAAAACAACTGTTTGACCAAGCCTTTTTTTTTTAATTATAAAAACAAACATTATAAGTTTTCCTTGATTTCTAAACATTCCACATGAAAGGTTTTTGTATCAAACACTGAGATGTCACTCACGCAGGGTGGCATCTTCTTCTTCCCCATCTGGGTTAAACCTATTGAAATGTATGCTGAAATCTGCCTCGGATTCAGCAGTTTCCAATTCGGCTGCCGCAGGGCCGGTGGCGGGACGGGCAGCCCGGGCCTCGGGCTGGCAGTTGGGCTGCGCTGCCGGCCGGGGGCCTTGGCAAACAGGGCTGGACTTCGGCTTCGGCTGAGCTGCCAGGATGGAGCTGGTGAATCCCAAGTTGCTCAGAGCATCCAGGGTACCATCAGGGTCAATCATGGCATTAATTGCTAAGCAGTCATGAAGGGATGAGAAGGATAGGGAAGAAGCCATAAAAAATACAATTTTCTGTTACTATAAAAATATGGAAATCCTTATCTCACATTTTTATTTTTATGATGACAGATATGAGTTTTTATGTGTGCTGTCCATGACAAAGAAATGGTGCATCCAACACAGATGTCAACTGATACATGTATTCAAAATCAGTTACATGTATTAAAACTTTAGATGAAATGAAACTGCACAAACTAAACATGAACTGATGTGTGGACAAGAAACAGAGATGATAAACCATCTATGATTAGGTTATAGGGACGGAAGGATGGTTTTAATTTAAGTGGCTTTTTCCCCTGATGTTATTATATTATGCTTTGTTCCACCCCACTCCCAGAAAATAGCCATAGTTGCTGATTCCATGACTGAATGGAATTTGTATAAAAAAGCAGTCATTTATCCACACAGTGAGGACAAACTGAAGTACCCAGTACAATTTCATTTTATTATACTATTAATATATGTGTTACATTTAACAGAACTTCTCTTTTTTATTTCCAGATATGTACTAACATTTATCACTGATTTGTCTCCAAAGGTGGTTAATGACTACTCTTGAAAAATTCTTTTTAAAAACATGATTTTATCTCAGATTAAATCTGAATACTAAAAATAACAAATATAGGAAATTTACAGCTAACAAAATGATTATAAGCATGGACCACTAATCCTATATAAAAAGATATGATCACTCTTCTGCTTTAAAAAAAAACAGCTATGTTTTTTTATCAAATGTATCAGCAATTATAACTGATAGCAGTTATAGTATAACTGTACATAACTGATATTGTATTGAATACATTTTAATAAATCACAGTAACTTTGTTTTATGTTATATATATACAGATATGGACGTCTATTAAAAATTGAAGCAAGCAACCACAGAAGAGAAAAGTGAAAAAAGATTTGTACCTTGCAGCTGCTTCTCAACCCGTTTCAGTTCCTGTAAGATTGATGATATTTCCTAGAAAAGAAACAACCATGTTTCATTATCACAGAAGAGATCAGAAGAGACCCTTAAGCTTTTAAGTCTAGCTGTTAACCCAGAACTGCCACTGTAGCATTTATTCCACTAAACCATCACCCAGTGCCAGATCCAGGTGCCTCCTAAACACCTCCAGGGATGGTGACTCCACCATCCTCCTGGGCAATCTGTTCCTGACCTGACCTCTTTAACAGTGAAAAATATTTTTCTAATATCCTATCCTATCTATCCCTATCTTCCCTCTCCCAGACTGAGGTCATGATGGAAAAATAAAGGAAATTTCCAGTATGGAAAAATAGATTTAAACTACCTCTCAGGAGCGAACAGTCCCACTCCCAAACATGTCCAATTGCATTATGCTATATGGATTGTCCCTCCTGGCATCAGGAACATCTGTGCTGGTGGGTGGCAGTACTGGAGGCTGGAGAGGCAGGTCCCAGAGGGAAAGGCAGAGCCCTCTGCACTGACTGCCTGCTCCCATCCCCACGGCCTCATTCTGACTCTCACTCATCTGCCAGTGCCCTCTGCTCAAGCACAGACACCACAGCTCTGTAGAGATCAGGCAATGTAACAGCAGACCTTGCAAGGGAAGTTAGAGGATAAACTCAGTACTAAATGGAACAGTCATTTATGAGGGTGTAGAGAAGTGAGTCAGACAGTGAGATGACTGCATCAAGGTTCTGTCCCCATGAGACCTTGTACAGCATCCCAGTGCTGGGGCCACAGCTCTCTGCCTTACAGATTTTTCTCCACTGTGCTGCACTACTTGCTAACACAGTCACAGCCACATCAATGTGCTCAGAAACACAGCAATCATTAATTGTACCACATCTAATGCTGTAGGATCACAGAGTAACCTGAGCTGGAAAGGACCCACAAGGATCATTGAGTCCAGCTCCTGGCCCTGCACAGGACAGCCCAAGAATCAAGCCAAGAGCCTGAGAGCATTTTCCAAGGGTTCTTGAACTCTGGCACTCTTGGTGCTATGACCACTTCCTGAGTAATCTCCCTGGCTACAGAATTAGCATATTTATATTAGTAGAAATATGTAAATCCTACAATTGAAGGATCCTACATGGAAGAATAGTTAACCGAGTTGCTGAGAAGAGCTGTCAGTGGTATTCTAAAGCTGAGAATTTTCAAAGGCACTGATTTCAGAAAACCATTAATCCATTTCAGAAAGCTGTTCTGTACTAAGTACTGTGATTTTCACGGGTGGCAAAGAAATTGATTTTCTTTATAAAGTCATTATCTTTAAGCAGATTTCACATCTGAGCTGGACATAAATGTTCTAAGGACAAAACAAACAACACTTCCAACTATCCTTTCTTAACTTTTAATGTTTTATGGTAAAAGAAGGCACTGCATTTGAACAACAAATTGCTCTGAAAACTAAGCAGAAACTTGAAAATCAGTGCCTATACAAAAAACCCCTGAACAACCCTTAAACTTTCAAGTAGTATGAGATGCTTTAATAGATTGAAAAAAATTCAGTAAAATGGCGAACTTAGGAATAAATGTACAACTAACCTTTTTCTTTTTTTAAGAATACCTTGACCCTCCACAGGGCATTTAGAATATAAAACACTAAATTTGGATCTTATTTGGAGAGGGATAAGAGAAACTCCTTCTAATAGCTCAAAAATTAGAAACTTCCATGAAGAACTTGATTAAAGTTTTGAAAAACCTAACAAAACCTATCAGCAAATCTATTAAATTATATTACTGAGTTACTAATTGTTGCTCTTGATAAATACACCATTCTTCAGAAATTACAGGCCAACTCTTTTATACTTCCAGGAAAAATCAGTCTGGAGGAGTTTACTAACTGATGATGAGCTAACAGAGAAGTCCTTGCCTGTTCAATGCCACAGGAAATGTATTCACATTTGTGCAGTTTTCTCTCCCACAAAAAACCCTGCCTCTGTAAACAGATATTTTTAACAGCAGACTCTGCAGATGGATAATGCAGCTGGGCTCTGCCTGCTGTCTCATGCAAGGATGTTTCTCAAACCCTATGCTCTGTGTTTAGAAGCAGAGGAGAAGGGTACTGAGACACAACGTGTGGTCTGTCCCCTCACAGTCTGTCTTGAAAAGGCCTGAATTAGCCCATAAACCATAGCTGATTGCTGTAATTAGGCTATTACATAAAACAGTTGGAGTGCTGGTGGGCAACCTATGGTTACTACTTCCAGACAAAGCCAAGAGGATTGTTTTTCACTGAAAAATCCTTTTATTGCAATGTGTCTATGGATTATTTTCATCACATGCATTAAAACACAACAATTTCTCTAAATATTAATAATCTGTATTTCTACTGTTAAGTATTACATATTAAGCATTAATGATTAGTAGGTAAAGTAGTTTTAAGACTGTAAACCAAGTTCATTCAAAAGCAATCTAACATTAAAACTCATGGTTGTTACCTTTTTTTAAGCAAACATACTGATGGTCTATGGATAGTTTGAATCCCTTTAACTGCATTCTTAATCTGAAAATTTCCCCTGAACAATTACTTGTTTCTTAATGAGACAGTAAGAAATTAATTACTTACTAAGACAGTAAGTCTTAGTAATTACTGAAGATTAGGTTTATTCTTGAAACATACTTAGTGTCTAAATAAGGGTTTTTAAAGATTTTTGCCCTTACATCACTGAAAACACCAAATTCCTCTACTGATTACTTAGCCATGAGATGAGCAACATCATCAGTCCCAGAAAAGGTAACTATTCATACCATGCTTGATGTTTTCACAATAGGAACTTCACTTTCAGCTCGTAACTTGTTTTCAATTTCTTCCCAATTTCTGTCCTTATCCTTAAATAATATTCTAGAAGAAAGAAATCCAACAGTATGTTTAAAACAGAAAAGAAAACCCACAAAATAATCTGAAAGATTGAATAACATGATAGGAGAAAACAGCATAAGGAGTACTAAATGAAAATAAAATATCAAAACCTGAAACCTGACAGAATCTAACCATACAGTTTAAATTTTCAGGGAAGCATACAAATTTCATGATTTTCAGCAAAATTATTATTATTGAAATTAAAATGGCAGTTCTGTAGCTAAATACTTGCTTATGGTATATATACAGATACAGTTAGTTCTTTTCTCCAGCACTGACATATTTTTTAAAAGCCAACTATTTTACTGTAGTGAGAAAATCCCCCATTAATACTGCATTTTACAATAATAGCAAAATATAAGATAAAGGAAATCAATTTTTACCTTTGTATTTTATATGAATAAAAATTAAAATGCTTTAGGAAATTTAAAAAATGAATTTTCTAGAAAATATTTTCATTGAAAAGTCTCAATATGTAAGTACATTTTATATATATATATATATATGTATATATATATATATATATATGTATGTGTGTGTGTTCTAATAGCATGAGTATCACTTGTATGAATATCACTACATATTGTAAGTCCCTTGTTATTGTAAAACCCCAAAGCCCAGTGGCAGATTCCTATATTTTATGTTTTGCTTCCCTGCTTGATAAAATTTTTGTTTTTATTGTAATATAATAAACAGAAATTAAACTTTCTCCATTGGTGCAATTGGAAAAGAAAAGGAAAAAAAAGCAATGTGCAGATATTTAAGGTCTGTGAAGTGACACCATGATGACACAGAATCCACTTCTTCTCTAATTGGTATTTAAAAGTTAAAAAGTTCAAAAATACCTGCAGTAAAACTGCTAAACAAACCAACCACACAATTCCAAATAATGGTCAAAGAGCAGTATATTTAAAAGAAGCTATTATTGTAGCTAGGTCTCTGAGAAAATAATTTTTAAGTTGGAAGTTCATGATACAGTGAATGTCATAAGACTAAGAATTTGAAAGAAAGCTGTGAGCCTTAGTACTGCATTTCTGATCACCTTCCTTCAGTTCTGCATACCCTATGGGGAATTTCATTCTCCATTATTATCCTGTCAGGATTATCTAATTTTGCAAAATATGTACCCTGCCTTATTTTATCAGTATACAGATGTTGGTGACAGACAACTCATCCAGAAGCTGCTTTAACTCTTCTATCTTTGAGGTCTTTACTCACTGCTGCTTTGGAACGTATTTATGTCAGAGGTTTCACTGTGAGGAAATGCTACTTTGATGAAAAAATGTCACGGGATGGAGGCAGTGACAACTTCTGCCAGACTTGGGTTTATTCACGTACAAAGCATACAAGGAGTAAACATTAATACACACTTTTTCTTGGAGAATGAATAAATAAATAAACTAAAAGTAATCAGAAGTGCAGTGAAGAAAGCAGGAAATGTTAAGGCCTTAGCTAGGGTCATCATCTTTTGAAAAAGTTCATCATCAGAGGTCTGGCAAATTTTTCATGTTTTGGCAGGGAGTGAAAAAGCTTGCAAAGCCATGCAGCCTGGATACCAAAGATTTCAGATACAATGGAAAATTTAGTACATGCTTTTCATTGAGGAGTTCAAATACACATTTAAAAAAAAGAGAAGAAAATAAAGCAGAGACAATGAAGTCCTTTACAGGATCATAATTTTTAAAAAAGCAACTTCTGGAAATATTTATTCAGTATACAGACAATCTTATGCAGCTATACTCTCTCTAATATAATAGCATTTATATCACCTGGAAATCAGTAAGAACATAGAAAATAAGGCTTTATTTAGCAGTAAACAGCACTAGCAAAAAAAAAAAAAAGCTATTGTGATATTGTGTGATTTTTTTATTTACCTTCTTGCCATGTTCTGTTAAAATAATTCTATCCTGATGTATGTGATTAGTGCCTTTGCTTCTCTATGTGGTGTTTTTAGAGCTAATGTTCTTCTCTTCTAAAATTTGAAAGGTTCTCATTTCATTGGTCACTTTATTAAAAAAGAACGGAAGAAAATGAGTGTTAATTAGAAATTTTGAAATTTTTATTATTTAGACTATAAAGTGGACAGCCAATTTGTTTTTACTATAAACTTGGGAAGCCTATTTCCTTTTTTACTTTATCTTTTTGAACACTTCATTTAGCTATTTTAAACTTCCTGGGGGATCATCATCTCTGTCTTCTTTGCTATTCCCCTTTCTAACTATATTTTTCAAGTTAAAATAATATATTTATAAATGCCAATTGCCGCCTTCTCTTGCTTTTCCCTGCTTTCTGAGGCAAACCTTTTTGTTTTGATTGTGCTCAATCCCCATTTTTCTTTCAGTGTACTTTGCAAGATGCCCAGCAAAAAGGCTTATTAATGGAAGTTTACTGCATTTTTATAGAAAAAAAAATCCCCTTTCTTTAAGTATGCATAAAATATTTGTAGGTATGCTTGTATTTATATCATACATGAGCACATTATTATTGCATTTATTAGTAGCTGACATGCTTTTCAAGATCAGAAAATTAATCAGAAATGTCTAAGACCTCAATTTAACATTAACTGTTGATCACCAGTAAAAACAACACACAAAATTCCTTAGAATAGGATAATTAAAATGAGTTACAGGCTTTTAAATAATTGATTCTTCACTCGGTGATACTTTTCCTACAAGAAATAGCAGGACTAGAAATGGCAGTTAACCTACATTTTTAACCAATTTATATAGATTATTATTTTTCTTCTTGATTTCTATGGCCAAATCTTTTCTGATAATCCCATGAGAATAGAATCTTCAGATATATTAGTATTTTGCTACTTTTACTGGTTACATCACCCTATTCTGACATACATTTTTGTTGTTTAATCTGTCACTCATCTAATATTCCAATATCTGACACTTCCTAAACAAACCAATCAATTACAGACCTAATATTTTCTCACATTCAGAAAATTATGTATTAAGCCAAAGACTTCTTATTTTTAAATTATTAATGGCACAAAGACATGAAGAACATAAGAAATATACAACCGTGAACTTTGTATTATGAATTTTCTTTTATTCTTGTCAACCAAAGTGGTCACAACTGGTTTTGCACCCACATATTCAAGTTAAATGGAACTGTCAGCAGAGCAACATATTACTATTATTGACATGTCTACACTTCCTCTTAACTACTATGACATCTTATGAGGGAATCTATTTCAGCAGGAATTTTCAATTAAAAATGGGAGGTAGCTACATCTGTTGTTTTAGAAATCAATAGGGATCACATTGTCTCCAGAGCAAGCTGTTTTTCAGAAGGATTTACTCAAACAGCTCTCCTCTGTCCAATTAGCTTTTTCTTCCTAAAATGCAAAATGCCTACAACAACCTGGCAAACCTATAGGGCTCAATGTTAGAGTTCAGCAACATTTTAACCTTATCTTTTAAGGAAGGGAGTTTTACAAGACTTGCACAGAGGTTGGGTAGAATTTGTACAGTATTGCATATGTTGGAAGAGCTCCTCTGCTGGATGTTGTTCTGTCCGTGTAAACTTTCCTGATATTTCTCTTCACATAAGTGAAATAAGCAGAAGGAATAATGGAAAAAAATATTCATTCTAAATCTCTGAATGCTAAAAATGCCATAGGTAACAGTGCTTTTTTAAAAGACAAGCTTCTACCATGTACATTTCCTCTGTGATTATTATATATATTTTTTTTACTGCTGGGGATGTTGATGGGAACAGACATTTTCAGCAATAACAGCAATTTTTAACAACCCACCTGATTTTGCCAGCTGTTTTGTCTATGGATTGTCTTATCTTGCGAGAAAACTGGAAGACTGAGGACAACAGCAAACTGTCCCCCATAACCTGCAATAAGTTTTTAATAAAAAAGGATATTATTAGTTCAATAGTAACAACTCCACATATTTTGGTATCTTTAACTATAAAAAAATCTTGCTTATGTTTTAGATAGCATCATATACAATGATATTTGAACATTTTGCCGATAAAATAATACATAATTTTTTCAAATATTAATGCCACCTGCTAGAGGTAGGAAAGGCAGGATAATGTCTAGAATATTAAGTGGGGAGATAATTGCAAAAGCTTAAAATTGACACATTCTTAGAGAGAATCCTGTGGTGTGCTCACTTCATCTCTGCTCCAAGTCCTTCTGCGGGTAATTGTTGGGGGATCGAGGGCCTCTGTCAGCTGAGGTCTGGCATCACTAGGCCGACCATTCCCTTCCGGGGGTTTCGCATGCACTATTGGAGGGATTTTTCTAAAATTGAGACTTTCATCAAATACTCGGTCCACCAACTGCGGGATAAAAGAAAAATGAAGTTCATGAAATCTACTGGACACATCCAAAAATCAGATTACTGGGGTTTTTTTCTCCCGAAACAGTTTCTAAGATGTCTATCAAATAATAATCATTCTGCTGTCTTCTATAGTATAAAATTATGCATCTCTTATGTAAAAACATCTTGTAGAAATGAACAAGATTTGGGGGTTTTTTTAAATGCTAGACATACATGGCAAATTTAGACTACCCCACTGAAATTTTGCTTATGGGCAGGTAACATAATAACTACCTATAAACTGGTACTGAATCATTAATTTCTTTGATTAATGGAACATATCTGTGGAATTGAGAAGAGTACTCCGAGATTTAGGGTTTTTTGCCAAATAAGTCATAGCGTTACAGAAAGACTTACACTACCTAAAGGAGATACTGCCACCTGCAGTATGTACACAATGCAATCTATTTTTTGAAGAATAATTATTTAATGATAAAAAAAAATTGGAGTGATCTAATTGGATCTGAGAAAAAGAGCTTTTACTTCTTTAACGTTTAACCACAGTCTATGAAAATTAAATCCAAAATCTATGTGAGTGCATTTATAATTTTTCTGAGTACTCAGCTCACAGATTTCTTATTGCTGTTTATATCTTTTTTTCCACAGAAAGAGACAGTATTAAACTAACCACAGTAAACTAGTGTATTAACCAAAATTTATGCACACAGAAATGAATAAAACACATTTTGAAAGGAATACTATGAAGAAAAAAATGCATTAAACATTTACAACACATTATTATGGTGAACTGTAACATGGCAGAAAGTGATGACTTAAATTCAGATTAACATGTTTATCAGCATTAGACCTGTGATGATTACTAGAAAATGTTAGTCAATATATTCATAGAACAGCACACCAGAGGTAGGCAAGGAAAATAAGAATTATTAGAAGCATAAAGCAAACTTATTTAAAGGCAGTTTTTGACAATGTTATTAAGAAAGAAAGTCTAAAGTTAACTGATGGTACCTAAGTATTTCAGTGTTCAGAAGATGAAAGTTTTATGTCACCTGCGAAAAGAGGGACTTTTTTGTTTTTAATAGTTAAGCAAAGAATTAAATGTATACATTTATATATAGTTGTGCATACACACTAGTGTCTTTAAATGCACTTAGATACCGTCCAACAGTATCTAAGGCTACAGACAAGCAAAAAACAAATAACTACCTTGTCCTATGTTTCGTGGAAAAAAAGAGACAGACAGATAGTATGCATCCTTTTGACAAGCTATGTTCACAAAATAATTCCTGGGTTGTTTGTTGAAATTAAAAGGAACTTCAAATGAAAAAAAAAAAAGTTGAGATCATGCATACGGGTTGAGTGGAGGAACTAAAAAGGCTATGCAAAATGCTAAAAGCAAAAGAAATAAAGAAAAGGAAGAACCTTATGCATTTCTCCATGAAGATCTCCTACCTCTTCTCTAGTGTCTATGGCAGAGCCAGGGGTGGTGGCAGCAGTGCTTACTGTGGTACTGGGGGCAGTGCCTGATGAAGTCACTGAATCTATCTCTCCTGCTACATCGTTGATTTCCCGTGCGATGAGAGCCAGATCTTGACTGATCCTAGTAATAAAGAGAGTGTTACATTCACCCCTACAAATCCTTTTGGGCCAGTAGAGCCCAATCTGCAGCCTCTGAGGTTGTAAGTTCAAGTTCCTGATGACCATGCTATGAAAAGCTGCATGCCTTTTTAAACAGAAAGATTACTTGTAGAGCCATAAAGCAAATTTTGACTGAAGCTTTTAACAGCATGCCTTTCTAGAGGAAGAAGGTGAAAGGTGATCTCAAAAGACAGAGTATCCTTGTTTTCTTCCCAGGATTCAGACAGATACATGCAATGTGCAGTATATCCAACACAGAGGATGCATAGGAAATATGCTGAAAATACTGCACAGATGAGCTGTGTAACATGGCAGTAAATCTGAAATGCTCAGAAACCATTTAATTTGTACCTTAGTTTGCCTACTTGAAAAAAAATGTTTTCAGGACTTCTGAACTTCGAGCAGTTCCTCACCTCACTCAGATCAAGCTGCTTATGGGTCTGAAATTCCAGACCAATACCCTAAATCCCCAAATGTAATCAATAAATATTTTCAGTGGCAAAAATACAACATACCTTTAAAACCTGGGTATGATAGCATTACAAAAATACAGCTGAATTCTCAGCCAAAGAGTTCTTTTCTTTGCTTCTGATTCAGCGCATCAAAAAACCAGCTTTGCTCTGGCTTGCTCTGCTTGTGCTACTCCTCCCCAAAACATCCCAAAAGGAGGGAACAAGACAAAAAATCCCACAAAGCAAAAGCTAAAAGCCATTATGGCACCCTGAATCTCCAGCCTGGATCACAGACTTGAGAAGAGCAGACTGCTAAGTGATGCCCTTTCACACTTCTGCCTGTCAGCACTGAAGGCACAGAGGGTGACAGTGCCACTTCTGCGCCACCGAGGACTCGGTGACACAAACAGCGCCCGCTGCTCAAGTGGAAGCAGGTGCACAGCCACGTGACAGTGACACACCCTGGGCTCCACACAGGCTGATTGCTCAAGGTGAGCTTCCTTCTGCTCTTAATTTCCACTTTGTCTTCAAGTCAAAAACAATGGACACCACTGGCCTATAGATAGCGTAAGATTAAGTGAACAGAATTTCAACTAGAAAGGCAAACATAACTAGAGAAATTTCCAGCCAAATTCCAACACTGGATTTTGTGGCTAATCATCAGCAATCCACAATAAAGTAAATTATATAATAAAATATATTATACACATATAATTGGAAGAAGGCTGTAGACAAATATATGGCAATTTACACATGCCAATCAAAGTCCAACATTCTTAGTAGTAGATACCCTAAAAGAGCTACTTCTTCTGTGTCATACAATCGTCTAACTTTTTCCTTAAATAGAAAAGTTGCTACTATTCACATTTGATTTTCTGGGACAAATTCTGGTATTTAATGCGTAGCTGTGAAGAAAATAAAACCTGGAGACTTAACTATCAGCAAATTTTTCAGAAGAGAAATGTCATTAAACACCATAATCAAAAGTTGCATCTATTACTGAAGACTTAACTCTTCAAAGAAATCAGCAATGTTTCAGCATGACACAACCACTTCATTTGAGTTCTTAGCAAGAAATCAAAATTGCATGAAGTGTCAGATCTCTATATAAAAATTAACTTAAATGAATCCCAGAAGTATCAGGACAAACAACTCTAACATTGATGCCAAAAACCAGATAATTATCACAGTCAAATATCAGTCATGTGAACAAAATCTGTAATCATTTTCCATGTGAAAGTAAGCTATAGTCCAGTACTCAATTACATTCCTGTATAGAAACAATATAGAGCAGTAAATGTGAAGCACTATGAAAAAGAAGATTAGAAACCAGCTGTGAGCTGAGCCTGACTTATGAAGTTTTCAAGTAATTCTACGTTAACTTTCAGAAGCATACATTTTTGCTTAAGTACAAGGAGTATGTTTTGTGTAATCAGGGACAAGAGACTGAGGCTCTAGGTGCACACTATTTACTCTACTGCAACTGTAGGCTGCCTTGCAGATCTCTACTGCTTCCTGCATCAGACCTAGCAGGCATACAAGGCAAATCAATTCAAAGAGGCAGAACTAATAAACCTCAAATTCCCTAAATCCCTCAACCCACTCCAGGAAATACTGCTTTAGATTCACTTGGTGAGCAGACTCAGGCAGCTACACAGCTACGAAGGGAACAGACTCAGTTTCCAGCACATAGGATAAGGTGAGACCACATGGCTTGGGATGGAGAGAGCATGACCACCTTTCCAAGCATGGAACTCTAGCTCTTATTTACCTGTAGTGAAAGAATACCAGTGTTAGAAAAAAATACAAGGGAATAGGAATACTTCTAAGATATCTGTAATAGTGCTGAACTGCTGGATTACTAAAAGCATTTTTATGCTTAGTCTGCTATGTTACACTTCCTGTACTGAGTTCAGTGGATTTTGCAACAATACTTTAACATCCTTCAATAAAATATTTGTGAAGCTCCCATTATTCCGAGGGTGTAAATCCCCTCCATGACAAAGTGCTTTAAATCAAGTTTAGTTATTCCAGGAAGTTTCTCTAAATACCTATTTCAAATTTTCAGTTTTATTAACATCTGTAAGTCCTGAAGTCTGTGAAAAGTGCATACTGTGGCAGTCATGGAGTCATTAAAACACAGTATGATGGTAACACAGATGTAATGAAATGCTTGCTACATGGTTTCTACACTACTTTCTGCTACATATGTATTTTATGAAAGGCTTATCCTTACAATCTAATCAGTTATTCAACAGCAACAAAAATAAATCAACTAATTTTAATGACAGCATATAGCCATCTTAATTTTTTTAATAATCTGAGTAGAGTTGAAGGAACCTTGAACATAGGGGCTGGACTGATGGCTGGGAGGGAAAAAAAGCCAGGGTAGACAATAATAGAGCCTATGGTTAGCAAGGAAATAGGAGCAGAGACAAAAAGTTTCTCATAGAGGACAGAAGCTAAAATTAAAGCCAAAGGAGCAAAAATGTGAATCACTACAAAGATATGGAGACACAGAAAGGATGAACTAGTGACCTACAGCAAATGCACTCAGCAGAGGCTAAAACTGGTATTGGAAGCAGTGACAATAGATGACAGTAACTTGGAATTTCTCAGATGCTAAATGCTACTTTTCTTTACCTTAAATAAGCTCATTTAATGCACGTTGTGCAAAATCTCTACATAAACCTAAAAATTTGGCAGTACTGATTGGAGCCTCTCAGCAATTCAACTGAAAATAAAGCTGAAGACATAGGATAAGTACACAGCCTTTAAAACAAACTTTAAAGCCAATACATATATGTAGGAAAGGGTAAGAATCCCAAGGGAAGAGAAAAACCTGCAAACCTAACCATCAAATGAATTTAGATTGAATCATCAATTATGTCCAGGGTCAATCTCTCTTAGATGGGCAAAATATATCAGAAAGTTTCACTGAAGTAGAGCTTCAGCAGTACTAGTTATCAGGAAGAACTAATATGCTATGGCTATCAATTATTTTTCCCATAGACACACAGTCCTTCCTATAACCATCTCTAACTTCTGAAAAGAAAGACATTTTCTAGGAAGATTATTTTTAAAATGTTTATTTCATTATTTGTCCAGATACTATGAGACTCCCTTAGGTATATTCTGTGTGTCTCTCAGGTCACCACAGCCTCCCTTTGCACGGATCACAACAGAAAAACAAATGTTGAAAAATATTACCAAAATCAGGAAACAAAAAATAATTAATCACACTAAACAAAACACTTCCACAGTATTAAGAAAATACACTATTAAAACTAATCTTAAAAGGAAAACATATTTCTTGTTTAGGCTTCCAAATTAAGTTCTGTGAAAATCTTTGGAACCTGAACACTGACATCTAAGTGTCAAATAACAATTACATGCTTGTGCAAGCTCTCTGAAATTTTCACTGCTGGGTGTTGCATGATATGGCAAAAATTGGTTACCAGAATGTGCAAATAACTTTGCCTTGGTTCACCTGAAGCAGAGTAGTGCCAGCAACGACAGAGGTATTGAGATACTAATCTCAAGGACTTGCAACGACAACAAAAAATTCCTTTTTGGTGAATACGCATAACTTAAATCAGAAAGTACCTAACATGAATTAATGTCCTGATAAATCAAAAATGAAAATGAGAACACGGTCTCTCACATTCCAAAGCTTACTTTTTTCTCTCTGTCACCTGTGATTGATCTGAAATTTTATCTCAATATGTAAAGGCAGTACAAAATCACATACACTTCAGCCTTGGGAAACACACCAAGTACCGCTGCAAGTCCCAATACTGCAACTGAAAGTTCATCTTCTGGGATTTGGTTATCATAAATTAGAAGTTACTATCAATTTCCACTAAAAAGAGATGTGCTGGTGATGTGAGTGTTCTGCCTGCCAGACACCTCTCTCGTAAGAAGAATTTTAAGTAACCCATTCAGTGAGGGAAGGAAAGCAGCAAGGAGTGACAGAGCAAATCCATCACCTCCCTTTGTCCTCTATGTGCACTTGGGTACAAACTCTGCTATTTTGGGAGCGCTCCTTTCAAACCAACCTTGCAATCTCTTCCCGGTGGGCAGTCCAGTCACGAATGTAGTCTTCCTGCTCCTTTATCCTGTGCTTGAAGGTGTTGCTGCTTTGAGCTGCTGTCCCAGCGCTCTGCAGGCGCGCGGTTTTCAGGGCTGGAGAGGTACGCAGACGGGCATGTTTAGGGGAATTACGGTTTGATCCGAACTCATCTTCTGAGGTGGAAGCATAATCTGTAGGAAAGCGCCTCCATCTTGCACTTACTAAATTAGTTTAATTATTAAAAAAGAATTATTATGGTGTCTTTTATAAGAGAAAACAGCATTATTTCAGTAACATCACAAAAAATACACAGCTATTTATTATCCATCCCCAGGTACCTCACAAAAGCTTTATTTACTACATCTTTAAAAGAAAGCTACAGAATTTGTGTTAAATAAAAAATATTGATTAATAAAAACATAAAACTAATGCTCTTTGTATAGTGATGAGTAAAGTAAGATGTAAAAGCCAGTGATTTGTATGAGCTCAAACAAACTGTATTACAAAACAAGGGCCCAATTCATTAACATTTAAGTATATAGTCAGATTGCACTTTTTCTGCAGATTTTTTCCCAAATTTCATTCAAGGTTTATGAATACACAATAAAAAAAAATGAAGACATATGAAGGAGGGATGGAGCTGGCACCAAGCCTGGAATGCATGCTTACATAAGGAAAGCATAAAATTCCTAGATGATGTGTAGGTCTTTTCCAACCTTAATGATTCCATGCTTATGTGTTTAGTACAGAAAAAGCATATATAAAATTAATATATGCAAATCTGCAGCACATCCATAAGAAAAGCAGCCTCAGAGAAAGAAGTAAATATTCTGACATGTAGCACATAAAGCATTATACAGCCATGTTGGTGAGGACAGCCTGAAGTACAGGAGAACTGGAACTAAGTAGGAGACTCTTGTCCCCTTATGAACTACTGAAGTCTAGAAAATGGATTTCAGATGTGCTGTCCTCAGACATTTCCAGCAGGAAGAGACACCACCAAGTGTAAAGAAATCCTCATCACCACAGCCTGCTAAATTGTTGCAGGGGATTTAATACCCCAAAGTGATTGACATTCATGAGGCTCTGTAAGTACTGCAGAAAATGAAGTAAGTGTGTGACCACCTATTGGTGATTGAAAAATATAGAACCAAATGATGTAAATTGGTTTTTAGTATTAAAAAATTCAAGAACTAATAATGATTTATCCTGATACATTAAAAAATGAACATTACAAATGAAGTATACCCTAATATGAATTTAAGTAATAAATAATGGAAGTAATTTTTGCATAATGTAAAGGTTATGGTATGTAGAATATGACATTGGTGTATAAGCTTACATCCCTTCCCTCATACAAATAATGAAGTTTCAACTGCTGAAAACAAACATGTGCTGGTGCAATTTTTTCAGGTTTAAATATGGGTTTCAAATGATGTCTAGTTCTACTTTTTTTAAAATTTTCTAACTTTATTGTAGAAAGTAACAATGTCTCTCCAATCACTTTCTGATCTCTTTTTTGGAGGCTTCAAAGTTGTTTGATCTTAGGGAAATAGAACATGAGCAGAAAAAGTACATTTTCCCATCAACAGCATGCAAGCAATGTGTGACCAAAGTCCAAAGAGATTTATGAGTTGGGCCCACATTTTTTTCATCCATTTTTGTTTAAATTCTTTTTCCCAGTTCAAATTATAGTCTTTAAAATAATTATAAAATTTATGTTAAAATCTCTCAAGTGAGATACTTCAGCAACTCAGCACTGTACAATGAGCATATATAATAATATATTTAAAAACTAAAAATTGAATGAGAAGTGAAATATCAGAAACAGATTTGATTTCTAGTACTCTACCACTGTAAGTTTCAACATCAGGGTCTGGGTCTGGGAGAAGCTTGGATTTCTCTGTGTACAAAATAGTGTTTTATCATGTTAATTCAATTTAAAACATTCAGATTAGAAGCATTTGCTTAAATAAAATATATTTATGAAATTAGTCTTAGGTCCTCTTTTCCACCCACACTTTATTAGGAAAAGATTATACTTTCGATCAAAAATACTCAATTTTGTAAAGGTTTAAACATTTCAGAGATACCAACTGAAATGAAATAATTAACAATCATTTGTAACATTACATAGTATCATAAAACCCCTATTTTTAAGACCATTAAATTTTAAGGCCTTGAAATGTTGGGGTGTTACATATGATCAATGAGTTTCTCTTTAATATGAGGACAAAGTTACTGTAGGCCTAGTGGTAAAAATCTCAAAGCTGTGAAATTCATGACAAGCATATCCAAGCATGTTTCCCAGTGAGGTAGCTATACATTTGCATATATATGCTTTTAATACTATCTTTAAATTACGCAGGCCCAAAATGTCACTGTAGTTTATGTACATTTCTGAAAGCTGTTGTGCAGTTGCTTATCTCAGACACCAAAGACTGTGAATATCAGTACCATTAACTAGAAAACCCCCCAAAACCCTGGCTAAAATAATCAGCACTAAAACCTAATTTAATGACTACTCTGTGAGAAGTATAATGTCCTGACAATCATTAAGCTGGCAAGTTTGGTGATTTGGACAACATACTCTCACTTCAAAGATTTGAGAATAAATTTTATTGAATATATTCTTTATACTACTTAGAAGGTATTCTGCTCTTATTGAGGCACGGACTTCTCAAGGTGCATCCAATTCCAAGCTCCTACTACTAAAATCTACTTAGTAAGGGCTGTTTTTTCTCAATTATCAATTTCTTGTCCCCCAGTTACCTCAACAGCTTTGACCAACCTATCTGGCAGCTATGTGCAATGACAGCAAGGTCAGCAATGCAGCAGCACTGCCAAACACAGCTGGCTGCTCAAGGTCTCTCTGTTCTGACTCAATGCCCAGTTTTTCAGCAGCTTCCTCCTTCTGTAACATCATCTTCAATTTCCCTCTGTTGTTGTGAAAATAGGTCTTTGGGCTCCTCTGTTTTTATTGATCACACTCTACTGTTTGATGAGGCAGTGCCTTCACCAGACCTTTCACTGCTTGTGCTATAAAGTTACTAATTCTGCTTCATGTGTCTTCACAGTGTTCTCAGTTATCAAGCCTCTTACCCCAGAAACCCTCTGGTAATGACTTTAATGCTAACAGTTCTCACCCTAGATGTTGCATTTATCTGCTTGCCATTTCAGATAAAAGTAACCAATACTTCACTGCATCAAGGATTAGAAATGATTCTACAAATTACAGACTTGCTGCTAGCTTCGACAATTTTAACCCTATCAAGTTGCAATTCATCCACATGAAGTACAAGACAATAAAAAAATCCAGAAACTACACCTTATTCTTGCTTTCATTTTACAGGTATATGTGTCTGGAACATTGATTTGGGAAGTGCAGAAATAAATTGCTCTTTGTGGGCTGATTTCAGAGGCCGCCAGTGTTTACTGATCTACAATGTGGTAGAGCGTTAACTGACCTCTGATGAGGTAACCCATGGAACATATTTAACATTTTGAGAGAGGCTAGTCCTCTGGTAACCCAATACTGGTACAAATCATTCATTTTCCAGTCTTTCTTTGTCCAGGGAGAGAAGAAAATTCGTTCCTGTTACACCTTGATTAAATGTGCCTGAAGTAAACCATATCCAAACAGCTGAGGTGCTTTAGTCAAGCACTTCATTAGTACTTTCCAAAAGTGCTAAAATTAATTGTTGACTTTTCTAGAAACAAAATTAAATTGAGGAATTAGAAGTGGCCTATATGTAGTTGGAGATACATTTTTACATATACTCCTATATACACTAGAAGGCTACACCACTTTCAAAGCAATTCAAATTTTCCTAAAGAATAACCAAAATAAATCAGTAAAAAAATTATACAATAATGTTACTGATACAAAATTCAGAACTCTAAATCCAAAACAGTAGTAATAATATTTTTTACTTATGTATTAACAAGACTTCATCAGTTTATTTAGCAATGATTTTGCTATGAAAGTATCTGACTGCTTCATTAACTACTTTCAGATTCTGGCCCTTATATTGACGGACTTCTCCACTGATATATATTAACTGATAGAGTTTTATAAGACAGAAGCTACTAGTACTGTAGATTTTTCTAACAATGGTCTTTTAAAATTACCTAGATTATTATGTTGGGGTACCCATGAGAAGATGGCACATTTTCTCTCTTGAAAACAGTATTTTATGTAAGCCACAGTAAACTTTTACTGTGGGACATGGAAAAATGAACACTTAGCAAAGACAGTAAAATGATAGATAAATAGAGTGAGAAGAGAAAGATACACTCACTTCCCTTAACAGAAGCAGCAAACCACTTCAATGCAGCAACCTGGGAAATCTAGGAAGCCTGCAATACTTCACATGGACACAAAACTCAAAGTTCATACAGAGTTTTGTGAAAAACAAAAGTAGTCAAGTGAAAAAAAACATCTGGGCTTTACCTTTTCAGAAATCAGCATTATCATAATATAAACTAATATTCACTATTTAAATAAATATATGGAAGCCTTAACTGACACTTCCCTACCCTAGCATTGCCACCTTTCAGGTTGAATTGACAATTTAAAATTTTGATTAAAATTGAAAACATGTTGCTTTTCCAATTATATCTGACAAGGAAAGACTGAATTTTTATTTGAAGGGTCATCTCTTGGGTACTGTGGGTACCTTTGTAGACACCTGTCAGAGAATCACACAGAGTCAACTCTACAATTCAGCAGTGTATCTCAGCAGAAATTTCTATTAAGCCAATAAATGACACAGCAAAACTAAATACCTGGGGAATATACAATGCTAAGAATCCTGATATGGTCCACTTATGATATGCAAGCAACAGAAGGACAGCAGGAGTGTGGGAAATGAAGTATCACAGTGGCTTATATCAAGTCTGAGTGGGATGTAGCCAAATTTCAGAGCACTACATCACTGGAAGCTACTCAATTTTATTCTGAGATTGTGGATTGACTGCAAATATGGTAAAGCTGCTAGCATGACAATTTAAAAGCAAGCAGACATTTATTTTAAATACTCATTTCACAAGAAAGTTCACTTTTTTATAATTACCACATTTTATTTTGTTAGCTTTAATATTGCTGTTGAAAAAACCTACCAGCTTTAACACTGCTTGTACTAAGAATGCTATGTTAACTCCTAACAGAATAGTAGGTTAAAATTCATAGACTGTGCAGATTTTTCCTTCCAAATGTAAGACAAGGTAGAATACCCACCACACAAAAGAAGATCAACATGATCTGGAAATCATGATGAACTCATAAATTGCCATGATTTGGAACACAAAATGGGAAATAATCCAAGATAAGGCAAACTCTTTAAAAGACATTTTTTTATGATATTTAGTTAGGTAGTACATAGCTTTTCAATTAATTACTTCAACGTTATTATTCTTATCAAGAAATCTCTGATTGCCTATTTACAAGCCTACCTTATAAATAAGTATCTCCTATGTACTAAATAGTGTTGCTGACCTTCTGAACTTCTACTACCACGATTTGAGCAAAGAGATCTTTTGTCTGTTTTTGCACTAAAATGAATTATTGTTGATGCATTTGACTGTCCCAATCCAGTTCTTAGCGGTTTCAAGATGAACACATATCCAGAGTTGAAGGATTACAGTTTCTTGGCTTTATGATTTTAAATGAGAAACCTCTACAATGCCATGGAAGCCTCTTACTCCAAAGAAAAAGACTGCATCAACTAAAACTCAACAGTTTCATAAGAGCGGTTTCTTAAACAATTTATTTAAAAAATCCACACATTAAAAGCATCTAGTATTGTACAAAATTATTTCAAATAATCTCACATACCTGAGGGAGAATTATGAGCCGAGGCCAAGGATTTGGATTTTGAATCCGAAAGTCGAGAAATGCTATTGGCTCGAGTTCTAGCAGAAACTTTAGCGCTGTCTCCTGAGATCAGCCTTGAGCCACTCCTGATGATTGCTTCTGGGGTACGGGGTGAGGCAGCACTCCTGGTTATTGTTGCTTCAGAGTCGCTGCGTGCTGATAAAGAGCCGAGTCGGTTCCTGCGAGGCTGGGCCAGTAAGTCTATCCTGGAAATGTTTCTCCTCCCCGACGGAGGTTTTGAAGTAGAACTCGTAGTGGACACTTCGGAAGCGACCGAAGCCTTATCGGCGTCGGCAAGCTCGCTATCTGAGACTTCACCAAGGCGGGCTCTGCGCAACAGAGAAGTCCTTGTGGGACGAGGTCTTGGAAGAGTGGTAGATTTACTGGACTGCCCAAGTCCAACAGGAGAGGTTTTTGATTTAGCTGACTTTCCTTCCATCTTGGAATGTACAAGTTCATCTGCTGAGGCGAAAGGAACTCTTCCATGTGATTTGCCAGAGTAGTTTTCCTGGTCAGATGATAGGATATCAGAAATGGCAGAATGAGGTACACTGGATGTTTGGTCATCATCTGTTAAATCTACTGATGGTTGCCTCATTCTTCCACTGGATTGCACAGTTTTGCGAGCGTCAGCTCTAGACCCACCATCTGAAGATCGACTCTTAGTTTTCTTTTCAATCTTTTCTCTAGCACTTGTAGAAGATTTTAAAACATCCTTTGAAGGAGAACCAGTGGAACATCTATCTTTATATAAGTTTGTAAAGCTCTTCCGCTTCTGCGTGGATTTTCTTTCAGTGTCACCAGTAACTAGACTGATTGTGCTGGCTGTATCGACATCTGACTCTGGTGATATGGAGTTATCTCTGTTATAACTAGGAGTGTCAGGACCTTCATCAGTTTTATTTTCTTCACGCAATTTAGCTTCAAGGAAAGCCATTACAGCTTCTGTGTCTTTTAAGATTAGTGTTGTATCTATACTGGAATCAGTGTCCATCGAATCACTTCTGTCACGTAACCTGTTTGCAGATACTAAAGGGGCAGCAGAACCACTCTGCTTATTAATGTGAGGAATAAGTTCTATAGGTATATTTGTGCTAGGCTTATCTATAGTAAAGCTACCTTGCCTCACTAAGGGTTTTGAAGATTCCTTTTTATCTCCTGCAAGAACTTTAGGACTTTGTCCTCTAATGATTTCCTCATTTTTTCTTCTTTTTCCCTCAATCTGTGCCAATTTAATTTCTGCTTTATCTGTAACATGTCCAGGAGCATTTTCTTGATTATCCAAAGTTTTGGGTGACATAACAATCTCCTCCCTACCTTTCTCAATCTGGTTTGCAGCAGATTTTGTAGAGGATAATTTTGAAGGTGTCCAGTGTCCTTGCTCCTTTCTTTCTTGTTGTTGAATTTTTGCTAAAGCTTGTTTTACCACAGAAGTTTCTCTGCCAGTTTCAACTCTCTCTTTACTAGAAGAGCTGGGAAAAGAAAACACTTTGTCTCCAGTAGCTTTGGGTGAAAGACCATTCATTGTTCTGCTTGACTTAGCATCTGAGGCACGAGCTGGAGTTTCTTTCTCTTGAAGTTCAGTGTCTTGCTTTTCACCTATTTCTGACCTCTGATGAGATACAGGTTTTGGTTTTAAATTTTCATTTACTTTCTCTTCTATGGGAAGCTGTGGAAGTGTCCTCCTCTTTCGCTCACCTTGGCTGGTCAGAGAAGCAGCTGAACCAGCACTTCTTACAGAAATACCAGACTCACTGATGTCTGTGTCTAAAAATGAAAGGGAAAAAAATATTTGAGAAGACATTCAACTGCAAGGCAAATAGAAAGATTAAATGTTTAAGACTGCGTAAGGCTAATACAACAGAACTGAAAAAGTCATCAGTCCATCCTGCTGTTCTGTGACAAGATCAATTATATTTAGACATGTAGAAAAACATTTAATGAACTCTTTTAGCCAACTGAATCATACAAAGTTTTTATGATCTCACAGTAGGTTAAAATAGGTGAGAAATCACTGTTATATCAATCAGCACACCATCACAACAGGAAGTAGAAAGCAAGTCTTACATTCCTAAACATCTTTAGGACCAGATTTCAAAACTACCAAAAAGAGTAAGATTCTCCTTCCTCCCTACCTGCCTGTTCCACAGCTTGAGATCTGTCTCATGGACAGACTACAGCCTCTCCCTGTGAGGCCTTGCCTCATTCAGGCAAGAATCTGCAGTGCTGGGAGACACTTCTCAGCAATATTGAAAAGCCCCACTCATGAACAAACAAATTACTATGGCTGAGAAAGCAAAAATAATGTTTTTATCCCAAACAAGACACTGTAGTGTAAAAATGCATGGAAATGCATCAACAATGCTTTGTATACAAAGCATCAAAAGAATGCAGTATTAGTGCTAAAGCACTTTCACTGAATTCTCAGTGTACACAGAGTGAATGCTCCATCATCAGAAAAGTATAGACTGTTGCAAGGAATAACTGTTTTAGAGACCAAGATTTATTTTTCCACAGTGATGATGACTGTGCCCTCTTTGCCCATTTAACAAACACAGCAGTTGTGCTGTCAGAAACAAGCCTTTATTACTCAAAGGTGATATAAATTGCTCTATAAATTGCCTTGACTTTGAATATTTGAATAGAAAAAATTCTTTTTGCAGTTCATTTGTCTGCTGTTGCAATATAATGTGACACATTTAGTAACACACATCTGTCAAATCCCTTTCTTGCCAGGAGAGATCCATAAGCAACTGCTCTGCACACCCTGTTGAGACTCTCCTATCACAGCCTGCCACCAACATTGGTTGCTCCAGGAGTAAGAACTGGAGTATAGGGTTTCTCTCTCTGCAAGAATCGTCTAAGCAATTAATTGAATATCAACCATCATGCTGTATGTATACCTGCTACTTTCTATCCATGCTCTTCAATCTATCTTTTCTCTTTGCAGTGTCACACCTTTGATGAAGAATGCAAAATTACTCACAGTTGGTTTTTTTTCCTATAATCTATGTTAAGATACTAATTTGACAAACAGTAAGTACCTCTGAAATCTAAGCAAGATTTTCTAATTCCAGGACTGTTTTTTTTCTTGAAAATTATGAAACAAATTGAAAGTTTAATGAACATCTTTATGATTGACATTTGTGAAGACTGACTTCTCTCAGACATGACTACTAGATCAAATATTTTATACATATGTAAGCATGTGACTTGCTTCCTGGTGAATTTCCAACTGCCTTTAGAAAAAAAAAGGCATGGAGTTGTTTAGCAACTACATGTTGTAAGTATATGTTATGTGAAGTTTAAATACAAAGATTTTTAAAGAAGATACAGGCATCTAAGTCAACAAGACATCCTTTCTGAATTGGCTCTTAGATGTACATACTAAATTTTATTCTTATTACACCTTTGGTGCTTTGAATGCTTTATTTCCCCTTTAGTATTTTAGACTTCTTGCAGAACAGGTATGCTACTTCCCTTTAACTCTTATCTTAGCTCTCATAATGGTAAGAAAAGCCTTTACCTCTCCAAAGAAGAAAGATCCTAGGTAGTGCCTCATCTGAAAGTGACCATTTAAAACTACAGAAAACAAAAGACCACCAAAGCTCCCAATTAACCACCCAAAGAATCAGTCTTAATAGCAATGATTTTAAGTGTCCTGTATGTACACACTCAATCCTTTCAAATAGTGCAAAATTTGCTCTTGATTTCCATTATTCTGTGTGTATCAGATAATTTAATTTTACCCCTTTCCATCTCCTTTGACTTTCAGTATCCTAGGCCAAGTTCAATGCTTATGAGTGGAAGAAAAGCAACAACAGAGCAGCAGTCACTGATAAGAATTTTTTCATGCATTGGTACAGATATATGCATTATGCAACTTTAAAAGCAAAACTTCTTTGTACAACTTCTCCCAAAGATGATCACAACTTCTAAAGTGAAATTTGCAGGAAGAAAAAAACAGAAGAGAAATTTATAGTCAAGATTGTAGATATTAAAGAATAAACCATTTCAAAATCACAAATGTGAATAATTAAACTATGGAGAGACATGCCCTGAACATCTGGCACTCACAAGAAAGGGAGATAAGGTTGCTCATTGCTAAAGAGAAAGTTTCTGGGTTTTTCAAGAAACATGAAAGGTCTTCTGTATTTCCAAGATAAGGAAAGGATGCTATACTTCAGCTGAAGTGTCTCAGGTTGGATTGTTTAATAATCATTACCTTGAAGTCCAATTTAGACTAAGAAAGATGCAAGGAAAGAAACATACTATGCAGACCAACCCAAACTGTATTTAAATGAAAGTTTCTCTAATATTGAACAGTTTATAAACTTTCCTGTTTTAGTACCATTCAGTGTAATACTGGCACTCAACTGCCATGCAGGCACCACTACTGCTGAGCTTGTTTTTATGCTGCTTGTACTCAATGAAACAGAAGAATCTCACGTGAAATTGAGGCATTAGGAGTAAAAAAGTGATTAAGTCCAGTACTCAATCATTCTTTTCTCCCTTTCACAGGTTTTTCAGCATAAATTATGACAATAAGAACAGTTTTTAATACCATTTTCTAATGGAGCAGGCACAGAGGACTCCAATCTCAAGTCATCTTGGTCATGACGAGTGTGATTAGCAGCCAAACTGGCCCACTGTGACACCCAACGTTTACTTCCAGGGTTAGCAGAGCCTTCCTAAGAAAGGAAAAAACAGCAGAAGAAAAATTATAACTGTTTGATAAAAAAGCATGTAATCTTTCCAGGCTTTTCCTGAATAGACAGGCCACAAACTATTTTCCTGGAGGAAGTTGAAAAAAATAGTTTACCTCAGTAAATTTTAGAATAGCAAACAATAAACAAAATCTACATAGCTGCTGAATCAGTACCATATAAACAACAGTTCCTAGTGCAGTGAACTTTTAAGCACCAGAACCTATATAAAATGCATCAGAACATGTGCCAGTTCTAAGATCAGGTTACTTCAATCCTCAGCTCAGAAGTGCAGAAAAAGTACATGGGATGTGGGGGTGTGTTAAAAAATCAAAAAATGTGCTTCAGGAAGACAAGAAAGTGACATTTTATTGGTTTAGAAGACCCTCTTGTCCAGATGGAATATTGTATTTACTTCATTACAGAAAGACTACCTTAAGGACTGAAAGAGTAATAACTTATGTTGGAAATGAAAGGAAGCTCAGATTATTTGTTTGGCCTAAACAAAAAAAGAAGCAAAGATTAGTTCTAAACCATCCTACTGCATAACAATGAAGTCAATGTCATCAGTATTTTACAATTTTTTGCACCTAAACCAGAAAGGAAATTAATTTGGTTTCTTGATGGTATGCCTTTTGAAATCTTGAAAATTTTTAAAATGTAAGAAAAGCATAGAATTAAATCATCTACTTGTGTTACTAAAGCATCCTTTTTTCAAAATCTGATTTCTAATTATAGTACAATATTACTGTCCTATCAAATATCTAAGCAGTCTCTCCTGCTCACATCTCCAAAAAACATCACCAGCCCTTCAAATCTTTGCACTTCTACTCAAAACACTGATTTCTGCCTGATGTCTTGACAACTCTTGGATTCTAGTCTTTGACCAGGAAACAACACTATACATTCTATAAAATTTATTTAGCAGAACTAGAATGGTGAATGTCTATGAAGGACAATGCCACCCACTATATGACAATTTCTTTCAAATTAAATGTTACTCAGACATTTGAAAAGCTTAAATTTACAATCTTGAATTTCTCCTGTTAATGCAAGTGAGTGCAACATCATGGATCTCTTCCAGAATATCATGAATGTAGTAAATCAGAGATGCAGCAGGTAATTTTTTTGAACAATTATACAAATTTCCATATTTTGAATTAATTTTTTAAAATCAAAATGCTATAAAATTCAAGTATAACAATAGCAAAGGAAGGCAATTCAGTGTTTTTGTTATTTATGGGCATTTCTGAAGACAATGCGGGGTGCCAGTAACAATATTACAAAAAACACACTGCATTAATGCAACTACCAAAACCTCATTTTTCTTTCCTATCACTAATCTCTCTTTTCCTACCTCTACTAGTGAACTTCTATCTAATAAAACAACTAATTATAGCCAAATCCAAACATGATAGATGTTCCAATCATCTTTGCAACAGAGCATTTCAACTAGTTCCTTCTGTACCACCTGACCAATTTCTGAGATACAGATATGTGCCAGAAATCTGAATTTTACTTCACAATGGAGAAACATACTAAGATTTTGCAGATTAACTGCCTCAAAACAACATGATAAATTATTTTCTCTTTTAATTACACTGCCAAAAAATGGTTTCTACATAGCAGTGAATGCAAATGTGTGCTTTGCCAGTTCTCTGTGTATAGAAGCATAAACAATAACAAAAATACACCCTTTCTTTTCATAGTAGTTTATGCACATCCAGAAGGTGTAAGGTTTATAAAACACATATCTAAAAAGTCATGTCAGATATCCTAATGTTCTTCCTATAACCCATATCAATTGGCATCTTACAGGCTCTCAACTATACAATCCTGCAAATTTTCTCTTGAATACCAAAAGCAATTTCCTAGTATTTCAGAAAAACTGGGTTTATCTACAAGATACCAGCCTTTTACCTTTGTGTTAAATCTGCTTTCTCTTATGGTTATCTCACATAAAAAGTGAGTAAGAAATCTTTTGAAAATGTAACAATGGATTTCTGTGGGCTTATTGTTCAGCCTAAAGATTTAGGGCTTCAGGCTCCACATCTGAAAAAAATCCACAGCACACACACATTACACCTAAAAGCATGTCCAGCTCTTGGCATTTCAGAGCAGATTAACTTTTTTTTTTTTTTTAAATAGATTTCAATAATGTGAATAAAATTAATTAAAAATTAGATGTTTTTTCAGACACATAACTCGAGACAGTTCAAGTTGTAAGAATCATATTATTTAATCTTTTCATAAATTGCTGCCTTGACAGCAGTTCTTCTCACTGTACCTGCTTCAGAACCATATGCCTCTGGGGTGATGATCTTTTTACACATTTCCATACCTGACTTATTTAGAGCCAATGTCTTCAAGTTATTCCTGGAACAACACTGACACCTATCTTTAACAGTTCTTTCTCTCTTCTATTACAGTTACTGCATTTATACATGAAAACCTAGCAATTGCATCCATCTCAGCTGTTACTTTGCCAGACTAATTGAACAGCATTGATCTGTTCTTGTAAGGTAAATCTCCTCTCCTGTTACAATCTGAGTAACTCTGTACCTTCCCTAGACTCGTATCCACCCTTCTCTCCCAAGAATGTTAACAGTTCCAGTGCTGTTATTACAGGGGAAGCTTCACCATGGTGATAACACTGCCCTTTTCTGCTGGTAAAGCATTTCCTGGGTGTTCAAGGGTCCTGTTTGCCTTTTCACAGCCCTGTGATATTGGTGATACATCAGCCTACATTTCAGTATAGCATCTAAGTTCAAAAAAAAGTAAGTATCAAACTCCAAACTAAATAGATTGCTCTACAAGACAGAAAGTTGGAGTAATTTGAGAGGACAAACAAAATGAAATACAGCCTCTAAATTCTCCACTTCTAAGAAGCAATATAGCAAATATTTACATGAATGAAATTCAATATTCAGAATGTCAGTAGTATTATTTTTCTGATCTTCAGTGGGAAAAACATAAGCAGGCACTCAAAACAGCAACAGAACATTGTAGTCAATGGCATTGATGACTCTACAGATGCAGAACCAGGTTTCTAAGCTTTTGTCTTACAAAAAACCCCCAAAAACCAAATCCCCAAACAAACCCCAAACCAACCAAAAAACTGAAGCACATCAAACACAATGCTGATAAACCATTATTCAAGAACCATGTTTAGCACAGACAACTGACCACTGAAAATTAAATGGAAGTTGGAGGGATAGGTCATAGCCCAAATGCCTGCAGTATTTTTATTAACCAAACTCACGGGTAAGAACAAATAATAAGAACAACAACAACAATAATAATAATATTCTCTTTGTTCTCCATTTACTTCCTTTTTTTTCTTTAATCACACTTACCTCGGCTGGCAAGTGGCAGCTTATAATGTAGAAAATAAAAACATTTAAATATTTTAAATAGATGGATTTAGTATTTTCATTGCCTATATGTAATCAGTGAAAAGGCAAGAACCAGTGTACTCAGGTTCAGTTCAACTGTGACAAGACACTCACTCTGCATTTTACTTTATTTATGAAATACACTACTCCAAAGTATTTAAAGACTGCTGTATCAAAGAAAAAGTTGAAAACTTCTTGAACAAGTACAGCACTTCCAAGAATTTTATTAATGATGCTTCAAAACCCCTGTAAAGCTAAGATATTTAAGTTCAGAATAAGCTTTCAACCCCTGAAGTGACTCTAGATGATGCTGTCCTGCCTTGGTAGCAGTGCTGGACTGCATGGTCTCCAGAGGTGTCCTCCAACCCTAACTATTCTCTGATTCTATAAACTATTTCTATAAAATCCTCACAATTTCCCAGGCCACCTTTTCCATTTCATTTGAATAGAAATATCTTAGATTTTTATTCTTTGCTTTTTCTATGTCAATCATGTTCTGAATTCACCTCATTCTGCTGATCATGTACAGGAATAACTGTGATGGGCAGCTGGAGTAAGTTCCACCCACAATCTGAGTGGATGCCAAACTGGAACACTGAGCTACCCTGATGTTACCTGACTATTTAGCCAAGATCTTCAATAAGGTTTATAAACTTATGATCTGCAGCTCAGTAATGCAGTAAGTCTTCCAAAACCTACAAGCAGAAAAGTTTGTATATGAGAACATAACCCACAAACTTTACAAATCAAACACATTTGCCTCTCCCCTTCCTACTGACTAATCAGAGGGCAAGTTTTGCTAATAACACTTTAAATGTAACAATCTTCTCCCAGTAGTTATCCTCATTATTGTTTTCCCATTATTTCCCTATAAGACACTTCTAATTTTCTGAACTAGCTCCTCTTGTACTTCTGCATATCTATCAACCAACATCTACTTTTAACTTTCCCTAGTAAGCTTTCTTCCATCTTCATCTGTCCTCAACTCTTCTTACACTAATCCTTGCTCTATCTACATTGCTTATGTCAGTTTGCTCCTTGACTTACCAAATAATTTTCATTTCTTTACTCTATCACCATGCCTTGCAATATTTAAAATTATGCTAATAACCTATTCTCTCCCACTATATAAAGACCTTTTAATGCAGCAAAGCAGTCGCAGTAATAAAGCAGCATAATTCTTGTAATTTCCACCTAAATCAAAGTGAGTTTTAGTATATCACTGCCAGAAGGTTTCTTAGATCTGCTGTATGATTGCAGAAGTAGTCTCAGTCTTCTAAAAACAAAACCTTTTATTCAGAACGTTGACACCTGAAAAGACCAATTATGTTAATAAACGAATCATACATTCTTCTGCTGCTTATTTAATTATAAAAGTGAAAAAATATCAATACTCTTTAAAACTGACAAGGCACAAAAGATCTGAGTGCTGCAAAAGGCATGAAAATAGGAGAGGGAAAGAATATGGTTATAGATTTGTGCAAAGAAGCAAGGTAAAAAACCTTCCATGGGATATGCCTATGCTGTGTGGCAATAGTTCACTTGAAGTGCCTTAGAGAAACCAGGTAAAGGTACTAGTCTAGGCACAGTGACAGTGGCTTCACAGTAGCTAAAATACAACCATGAGAAAACACACCTCTAAAAGAAACAGGTACTAAAATCAATGTATTTGCATGGCAGGCACACTTAAAGCTCTTAATATCTTCCAAAAAATTGCTTATCTACAAAGTTTGCTAAATTACAGGACCACACTTCAGAAACAGTTTACCAAGGAATTAGACATAAGTGTTATGTGCTTCTTTACAGTTGCCAGTTGATTCCACTTCACTGTGATCCTGTTCTGTTCCAGACACATTTCAAGCTAGTTATCTATCACAATGATAGCAGAATGCCTCCCAAGTTTTCATTATGAAATATGACCAATATATTGTGTGCATATTTTAAGTCACATATAAATACAGGCATTTTCCTCTGTATATTCTTTCACCAACTGATTAAGTTATATGTGTCTGAATCATGTAAGTGACTTGTCATGAGTGGCACCTCATTGGAGAACTTAAATCATGAATGTAAAAACCTAAAGTCCTCTGGCTTCAGAGAAAAAAATCTGAAAAGTATTATCCATCATTTTTTTCCTAGATCACTTTGTATCATGCATTAAGTGCACACATCTTATTTCTGAATTTTAATATCGTTACTTGCTTTGGGCTATAAAACATAACCAGCTTTTGCTCAGTTCTGCTGAAGAACTTACATGAAGTATATACTGTGCAAAATTATGTTGTGGCAAAGAAACTTCTGCTACATTTCCAATACACTCGTGTCAGTGCATGTAGAAAGGTAGCCAAGTTTAAAAACACCTCCACATTGAATTATGCCTGCCTCTGACAGAGAAGCTTTCATGATGCAATAAAGGCATAGAAGAAATAGATTACTTATAGATCTGAGTTCATCTTTTCCAGGCAAGATTTTGTTTCCTGTTTAACACTTACTGGTCGGTTCTTAGTGCTCCCTTTTAGTGGAAGAAAAAAGAAGACCGTCAAAAATTAAATTCTACCTCTGTGTCAAGAAATCCAGTTGTACTCAGTGGTCTTTTTTCTTCCAGCACTACTGTAGCAGAATTTATAGCCCAATCTTTTACTAAATCTTTCTGGTTCTCGTTGATAACAGGCCTATTATAATCCTGGCTGCCATCCACTCCAAATACCTGAAAATGAAACAAACCATTACATTCATTAACCCAATACCATCCTGATGCAATGTTCAATGTTAATGGATGGATGGTGGCATGCTGGATAGTGAGTATAAATCGGTTTTATTGTATTATGCTTATTTGTCACCTTAGTGCAATTTACAAATTAAACAGAAGAAGAATCTACAACAATTATTAAAAAATGAGGAAGTCTATGTCAACATTGTGAAAATTCAAAGAACTGCTAGTTGGAATGGTCAGATATGAAAAAATGACACTTTGATGAAAGGAACAAAAGATTAAAGTGAAGCCATTGCAGAACCCATTTTACCAATTAAGGAAAAAACCCAATAAGCAGAACCACCAAATTATCAGATTTTTGCTATTATCTAATGATAATAAGAAATATAAATTCTTGCATTTGCTATTAATATGCATATTGAATTATTTGTCTAATACAAACAAAACTTCAGTTTCTCAGCTGTTGGAGATTTGGCAGATATTAAAACTCCACCAGGTCTCATGAATCATGCAGACTCATCTCATCCAAGACGTGACTTGGCATAGTTCTTTTATTGCTCTATTTCCTAATGATGCTTTTATTAATCTCTCTGCTCAAGCCAGGATAATTTTCCCATGACATTTTAAAAACAATGTTCCAAAAAAAAAATACTAGAAAAACATTATTACTAAGGCAGTTAATAATAGAACTTTAGCAGGAGAACCACCATACTGTTTGTCAAATTTCTCATGAGTGATAGAAACAGGGTATGTGAATTGCTTTCAGAATTGATGTATAATCAAATACATTTTAGAAAATATCTTAATCTTGGAAACATGTAATTAATAAAATTTTCAAATTTCTGTGTAAGAAATAAAATCACTACTTTACTACTAGGGACTTAGATATTAACAAATTACAGATTAAAATGAACCACACACATTCAAGCTGGTTGCCAAAAATTAACAGTTAACATCAAAAATTGTTCTGTCATCTTCAAGATGTTATCCTCCTGCAACAATGTGCAGAATAGGAAAAGGCGTAGAGAATTCTTTTTTCTCCAAAAGTGTACTGTAATTCAGTTTTGCAAAGCAAAGCCAGAGGACTAGTTTATTACAATTCTTAACAAGGTTAGTGTTTTCAAAATGGATTCACCACTAGATGGCCACAAACCATAATGTTGTAGCTTCTGAGAAGCAGACAAAGGAAAAAATAATAGTTAGCACCCTGACATTCAACTCCTTATGCTAACTACAGGAAAACCTTGCTACAGCATTATTACACTAAGACCTGAGGAAATTTTCTCAAATGCTCTGGATATGTTTTTTGCTCTCATGAGAAAGCCTTAAAATTCAGGCAGTGCTCCCCAAATTTTCAATTTATATCTAGAGTCTCTGGATTAGAAGTTGCTTAACAGCATTTACAAAACATTTGTTTTATTCTTATAAAAATAGAATGTTAAAACTTAAATTTTTGCTTTCATAATATACTTTTGATTTGTACAGTTGTGGCAATTTTTGAAGATAGAAACCAGTTACCGTCCACTGACACCTTTCTTTGAATATATCACTATTCTGCAGAGAATTTTTTCTTTGTGTATCATCCTTTCATTGATTACAGAATTTTATATGTTCTTTTAAACGAAATTAAATTCTGGTATTATCACATAAGCACCAGAAGGAAAATATGAATTCCAGACATCCCTATCTAATTTAGACTTCAGCAGCAAACTGCTGCTATAAATTGCTTCCTTTTATCTGACAGCACATTCATTTACCATGTCAAATTTCTTTACTGTATCAGAAATAACACTTTCAGTCTTACCTTTTCTAGTACTGAACTCATGTTTAAGCAAATTTTGTTATTTTTCTATTACTGAAATTACTGCAAAACCAAATTTGAATATTGCCTATTTTTTTCCGTGAAAGGTGATATGAATATCACTAAGACCCAAGTGTTAGCACTCCTAATGTTCCTTCTCTCTATACAGTGGAGATATCAGAAGAGATAAGCAAAATATTTGGGGACTGTATTATTAGACAGAAAAGTAAAACATCTTCTTCAATAAAAGTATATTTTCATACTACAATGTCATTCTACATGTGCATTGTGGATGCACCTGGCCTAAGTTCCACTGCTATACAACTGCAAAGCCCCTCTTCTCACAAGAAAGAGGAGATGCATGTAAGTGTGATGTAACCCAAAGACTAAATTTCAGACTTGTGATATACAAAAAACTCTTAAAAAATTGCTACTAACACATAAGAATTTAAATACTAAAATTATTCGCAAGATAAAATAACTCAAGTATTTGACAAAATGTAGATTATTACTTACAGACCTGTCACACACCTGCAGAAAAGCAATACTGTCAGAATTTCAGGTTTGACCAATCCACATACTCCGTTTATCAACTCTCCACCATCTAGAAAATGCAATTTGTATTTTCTGGGCTGATAAAATATGGTATGCATGCAAACAGTGAGCTGTTGTGACTGAAGCATGAATGGATAGAGACTTTATCTTCCTGCAAAGACTAGATTACATTTTTCAATGCTTCCAATTCTTTAGATGTTTCTTCTCTTTAAATACTTTCATGATTACAAAATCATTTAAGGAAGGTCTAGGAGATAACTTAATCAAACCTAGAGAATTCTGAGGAAATGTTGATGACACATATTGCTGCATCTCTCATCTATTTAGACAGAAAGACTGAAGGTTCTTTCTATAAAGCTTGTATTTTTCAGAAGCAACTAAGAAATACATTTTGATTAACTGAGTTATGGGGAAGAAAAAGATGAAGCCAGGTTCTGCAATCAATATACAAACAATACAGATTTGGACATATCAGACTGTTTGAAAAATGAGAAGCAAGCCTTTATTTTTGATTAGGAGGTAAAATAATTCTGTGTATTCCATGTACGTGACTAACCATCACAAATCACATATATCCACCACACAGGTGTAAATGCAAAATAAGTTTCCTCAATAATTTAACCTTTTTCAATAGTATTGTAAACAACAGGGACTTTCACAAGACTCTGATCATGCATTTTTTGAGAGAACCTGGGGAATAAGGAGTAATGTAAAAAGAATAAAAAAATATTAATAACAATTATATATATATCCTAGAAATATTAAAAAAAACAACAATTCTAATGCAGTTTTTTAACATGTGCAATTTAAAACTGAAACTAGCAGAAAAAGGTATTTCTAAGATATCTGCTTCCTATAAGAAATCATTCTGGAAAGCTAAAGGTTTTTTGCCCTGCTCTGTCCTATTATTTATTTTTCTGAAATTGTATTTTTTGCAGGAAGATTACATTGTTCCATCCTGGTTGCTTCAAGTTTCATGAAGTTACAGAACAAAATCTGGGATGAAAATTTTCACAGAAAACCTTGAAAGTTGACTGAGAGAGAAAAATCTAGACACCCCACCAATCTGCACCATTTCATGGTGTTCTTGCAGGGTCTATGCCACATGGTTGTAATGTAGAACAGATACAAACATCGTGTATAAACTGTGGTGGTGGTGTTTAAAAATAACTACTTTATTGTTATGAAGCATGAAGCAATTTCCATTGAATCAGGACATTCTAAATGGCATGGGAATGATGACGTGCTGTAGTGTCCAGACCCGTCTATGAAATATTCCTGATGTAATTTTGTTTAAGCTGCATTCCAGCTGGCTCCTTAAGCAAATGGATCAACAGGTGATACAGGAGAGACACTGTCTAACTAGGTAGCTCAGCAGGGGCCACCAAGATGGCAAAGACTAGGGAATTTTACCTGTGGGGAGAGTCTGGGGAAGCTGGATTTGATCACTTTGGAGAGGGGAAGGCTTTGGGGCAGCCTCTCAGTACATTGGGGAATGTACCAAGATGACAGCCCAGCTCTCCAGAGTGCTACACTGCAGGGGGACAAGGGACAACTCGTGTCACATGAGACAGGGTATGAAGAAAAGTTTTTCCACTCTGAGGACAGTCAGGCAAGCTTGCCAAGTCTCTGCCCATGTAGGGAATGAAGACCCAAATGGATAAAGTCCTGGGCACCCTGGCTTAGCATCTCAGGTCTCCTAGAGCAGAGTTTTGAGAAAGCCCCAAGTATTTCAGAGTAGGAAGGATAAGGTGAACTCCTGGTACATACTTTTCCATTTCAAAGCAGTGAAGTAACTCCTTTAAAGATTCCCTATGATAATCCATTTACATACTGCAGTTCACCCAGTAACAAAGGGCCAAAACAGTAGGCTAAAACTATAACAAGTCTCAAAGCACTATATCTTGTTACTTGCTAGAATGCAAACTTTTCCTGAAAAAATACAGAAGGAAAATATGCACTAACTAATGGCAAAAAAATTGTAACTTAATGAGGGTATTCAAAAATTTAATCACTTTATAGGAGCAACAGTTTTTCCAATATTCTGAGACTATAACCTTATCTGTATTAACCAGTAATTGTTAAAATTCTTTATCCAACCAAATCCAAGAATTAACAAAATCTCTCTAACACAATAAAAGCAAGATGCAAAACCTGCAAAAAGTACTGGCACATTTTCAGAGACAGCGTGAGTTACAGGGCCAAGTCTGAGACCGTGCCTTGGTCTTTTTGGCAAGGGCTAATTTTGCAGAAAGCAGAACTATTCTCTTTTGGCAGGTCATATACACTTCCCTGTGACAAAAGCTCATTACTCAGAGTTCACCTGCTCATCACCATAGCTGCAACACAGCTCTAACATAAGCTAGCTTTAGTGATCAGGGATTGGTCTTGTTCACTTTCCCTTCTCCTGTCCCAAAGCAGGGAATTAATATTTTTTTACAGCACAGATACTAGAGGGGAACTCAATGACTTTAGAATTAACTATCAAGATGATTCTTTAAAACCATAGAAGTCAATATTCTTCCTCAATATGTGCAATACTTTCAAGAAATTAAAATAAAACTGGTCACAAATGGCAGCAGGAACGATTTTTTCTGAATAAGAAGGAAGACAATGGATTGCTAACCCCCTCCCCTAC